GGATCCAGAACTGAAACTGTTCTCAAGAAATGTTTCCCAATACGCATGCATAATGTTATTTTTCTTTATTTTCATAAATGTCAATATATTAAGATATAGTATTTAGAATTTATATATTGATATTATTAATGACTGTGTTATAGTGAGAGTGTCTATTTATGATTAATATTATTGTAACTCAAATTCTGGATGCGAGTTCTTCAAACAAATTAAGCAATTATTTAAAATATTTTTTCTATTTGGAATGTCTTGTGGTTGAAGCGCCCAGCTTCAAGCCTTTTCAGATGGGGGGAATATTTGTAATAATAAAATTTCATAATCAAGAATACACTTAAAATTCTAACAGTATGTTTTTTCAATTTTAATGGCGACGTTCTCTATTTGAAAGTACATGGAATTAAATCCACAGCTCCGTAGTCAAGTTGTTTTTCTCGCCTTTTTTACACGTACAGTTATAGAAACTTCTGGAGATATCTAAAGCGAACTGGAGTGGCTGACGTTATTTTTTGGAAGCTGCGCCTTTCCAGAGGCTATAAAAAGACTCGCAAAAGGAATATCGGGGCTTTTTCTTAAAGTCACGATGCAGTAAACTTCATACAAAAAGTTATTAGTAATTCTTTTTATTTACTCCGGATATCTGATTGTAACTGCTATTTCTCCTGAATAATAATAAATGGATCCTGTTTTTTAAACTTATCGTCTGATTATTTAAGCTACGACTAAAGCTGATACGTCATATATATATATACACTTCTATTTATAAACTGAAAAATAATCATTGTAAAATATAGTAGTGGAACAGAAGATTTTCAATTTTTGTTTAGATGTTATGTGTTAGTCAAAAGGTTGAGAACTGCTGATCTAGACAAATTTCATACCATGCTGTCTAACAGAGGTCAGTTGTTTCTGACCATTTTAAGCCTCATACTGCTGCTCAAATGCGAGCTGCATTTAAATCTTCAGGCTGGCACAACTGGATCATCACCCACACAGCTCAGATTTGATGTTGACAGATTACCATATTTTCGTACTAAGGTGTTCTACTTTTTAGCATTTCCAAACATGAGAAGTGAAAATAATGGCTCAGAAATTATTGTCCAATCAGGTGGAACTCTTCTATAACATGGGTCTACAAATCTAGTCTGTGGCTATAACAAATGTTTCAACAACTGTGAAAACTAAGTAGAAATACAGATAAAATGCAAAAGTACAATGCAAGAAAAAATAAAGCACCCAAAATATTTAATAGTTAATTTTTTATTGTAAAATTATACTTAATTAAAAAATATTATATGTATAACAAAAACACCATAAAGAATCTCAACATTATCACATGTTGAGATTATCACATGTTAGTTACCATAAATATTCACAAAATGATAAATACTAACTACTCTACATGTGTGATGGTTAAAAACTAAAGAAAAACTATAAACAATACTTAGAGTAATACACAAAGTACACAAAGAACTGAAGTCACTATGGGATTTGCTAAAACACATAAATCTATAAGTGCAATTTTGTAGGCATACGAGTTTGTTAGTTAGAAACATATACAGTACAAAGTCTGTAATCCGGACTCGTCGGGATTTTGGCGTTTCCGAATTAGGGGTTTGGTACTTACGTATTAACGCAACCAGGCCAAAATTCGCATAAATCGCCAAATTTGGTGACCCTACCTACGGCAACCCTACTGTTTAGCCGTATACCACAGCAATGGGTTTTTGGCGGAATTTGTCGAGAAAAGAAAGAGGAACTTTTTGGTTACTGTACCTAACCGAAGCACCATTACCCTCATGAAAAAATTTTCAAAAATATTAAGGAAGGCAGCATTTATTCGGATTTGGAACGGGTCCAATAAAGGAGTTGAAATGAGATTCCTGCATGGAACGAATCACAAAGACTTTTTTTGATCCACACGGGGGTGCAACACAACAGTATAGCGCAGTGGGGAGACAAAATAAAAAACAAAAACAGAGGGACAGCCCGTCTCATCCTGCTCATGCCTTATCGAATTTATATGGCGCCAGCTCAAGCTTGATGGCGAAGCGGTTTCATCAGTGCTAAAAGCAATAGCCAAAAGATTTCTGCGAAAAGGATTCTGCAACTTATGCAAATCGAAACCAGAAGGGTTAATTGCATTTTATATTTAAAACAAAATAATATAAAAAAGTATAAAATTATCTGTAATTATAAATGTACATTTTTTCTATTCATACTTTTTTTACTCAAACTTACAATCGCGGACCCTGGTGCATAATACGTAAGTACATAAAAAGGGGGGTTTTTTTTCCGGTTATAAATCAATTAAATTGGTACGATGGCATGCAGAAATTAAAATTAAAAAATGAAACCATATTTATGAAATAAGAGAATTATATCTAAAGGGTTCAAATTTACAAACAAAAGTTAATATTATTTGTTTACTTATTAACTTTCTTTCATGTAGTTTAAGTTGCTTCGTTTTTGTGAATCCTTCTCTTTACTTCTTAACAGACATATTCTTGTTCTCTACAATTTCCATTGTCAAGTCCTGTAATGCTGTTCGATAATACGACTAACTTGTAATCAAATTTTTTGTTTTCATAACCTCTCTGTCACTTTCTTCACTATGGAAGGGCATTTCTAATCTAGAACCATACTAAATTTTGCATCGTTAATTGATTGATTATGGGGCATGTTCTTTTTTCTTTTTGCGTATGTCATATACAGTTGACTTTCCAATGTCATACTTCTCACATAATTTTCAGATGGATATGCCTTTATCCATTTTTTGCAGCAATGCCACTTTTTTGTTTAATGGACATCGAAACGTGCTTTCACTTTGTAGTTCCTTTGACAGCTCCAGAATTGGAAACTCTTTTTGACATCATCGAAAGTTCAAGCGTAATTTTTATAAAATTGCTCTAACAGTCTGCAAAAAAAATAATAAGCCGATCCAATTAGAAGATTAAGAAATGGCACAATTGCACCTAACCAAAATCCTTGCATAGTATGATAATTTTTGCCTACTATACAATCCTTTACATAAAGGTCATGCGTAAAGCTTCGCACATGCATAAACATACAAAAAAATTTTTGTGACTTTGAGGTCCAGATTATAGATCATTCTGGATAATGGACCCAGATTACGGACTTTGTACTATATTTCCATTTCAAAGTCCTCAAAAAACAATATAAGAAAAACTGTTTATGTTTATACTTTTAAATTGATTAGAAATGTTTCATATGTTTTTATTTATAAATTTTTAATTAACTTTCAATTTTACTAAAAAATGGTTTTACATAACCTTAAGTTAATTATATAAAAATAATTTTTTATCATTACTTTTCTATACTTTAGTTAAAAATAATTTAAAATAGCAAATTTAGAAGAGTAATTTAGACAAATGCTCGTATCATCATGGTTCCAAATATTAGTGCAACTCACTACTGAAACAGTTTGGGTGGCATAAAAAAAAAAAAAAAAAAAAAACTGTGAATTCATTTCTTGAAACATATTACAATATTTATTTTATATAATTGACAAATTTATTATTGCCAATTAGTTGTAAATAATTACATGCACACACATATATACATACATTATAAAAAAAATTCTTAACAAAAAAAGGTGTAAAAATGTACAAAACATTTGAAAGCAGCAAAAATATGCTTCCATATTTATGAAGCAAACAAAAGAACAGGATATAAAAATCTTTCTCTTCAAACATGGTAAATTCTTGTTAATTCAAATTTGACATTTAACTCAATAAAAACTTAATTGCATGAAACATCCATGTTTAAATAAATACTATCAATTGCTGATTACCCTACTGGTGAAATTAATCAATTATGTGTTGCTCCCATCAACCAAGTACACTTCTCTGCTGCTCATTATCTGTTTCAGTGGAATTAATATTACGTTGGCTTCTAATTCTACAACAGATGAAAAAAGTTCTTTTTTTCAATGATAATTAAAATACTATCTGTGTTACTGTAGGATCCAACACGAGCAGGAATGGATTCCACATTCTTTTCCTTGTTATTCCATCACTTTTTTTTTTTTTAAATTTTCACTATGAATATTAATTTTTCCTTTATATGCCCAAAGTTTTATTTATAAACAAAATAAATGGTCGCGTCTATGCTTATGAAAGTTAATTCAGTACTTACATATTAAAGCCATCACAGCTGCAGATTAGGCGGGTTTTAAGTGCTGCCAATTTACAACTAAAATTTTTGTGACAAATCATAAATTAAAACACTTTATTTAAAATCAAAGACAAATCATAAATTAAAACACTTTATTTAAAATCAAAGTACTCAATCGGATTTTGGTCAAAAATGGGCCGATATAGAGTTTCAAGTCCACTTGCTTAAGTTGCCACACTGTCTTAAGTTACATTTCCAAAACGTACGTTTACGAAAATAAAGTTTCGTATCATGCGAATAGGTACATTTTCGTTTTTTTTTTTTTGGTAAAATATTTCGCTCCTGAAAAAATAAAATTGCATCCTCTTCTGTGTTTGGCAAATCCCAAAGACACATTTTCGTAGCACTAAAAAATGGTGTCAAAATTCAGCAAACAACAAGGTAAAAAGGAATCCAAAAGATAACTGCATGCCAACAACAGGATTTCTCTTTATAGGTAGGTGCATCAGTGTAACTTCTGCTGCGGTGGTGTTAACATGTAAGTACTGTTAATTCTTATAAAGAGAAACGTATTTAAATATATGATCTCAATACAGCATGTACACAGCTTTGTTTGTTTACGATAAAGTACTCCAAATTTATACTAATGTTAGTTGTATATGTTTCCTTTAATTCAAAAGTTTAGAATATCTATTTAAGCATTTTCCATTTTGTTTGAGGTACATTTCTTTCTCAGCAGGGAGAACATTCATTCATTACACATAATATACATTAAATAATTTAATAAAATGTATTACTGAATTAAACAGTGCTTCTTTAAACATGAAAAATTTGTAAACACAATTAATTTTATGTGAACAATTTACCTTCAACATATAAGCGATTTACAATATCATGCCGAATAAGCTCAAAATTTTCATGACCTATCCAATGTTCGATGTTTCTCTTGCTACCAGTAAAAAAGTTGTCAACAACAGTTACTTCATGACCTTCAGACATAAGTCTGTCAACAAGATGACTGCCTACAAATCCTGCTCCACCAGTAATCTAATATGAAAAGAAAAACAATATTAGAGTGCATTGGTTAATACATGTAAAAGAGTATTCAACAACATCAATGCATTAGATATTCTAGGTATTACTATAAGTTGCCCCAACAAAAGCGCTGGGTTTAGTATGCTCACAAATACACTTTATTTTTAGAAAATGGAAAATATTTTTATATATTTACAAACAGGAAAATGTTTCAATTTAAGATTGTTAAGTTTGATTTGACCTAGCAAGACTAGCAGTTTATCACTGTCAGTTAATTTTGCAGCTTTGATGTAGTCAGACAACTTGCAGCACTACACAAAGGAACAGCGAGTTTTGATTGTGAAAACCCATTAATTTCTATGGTTCCTCCCTCGATATGGCGGAGGGGTGGCAATGCATGTCTTCTGTCTATATGGGTAATGGGCCCAACCCCTTCCCCATCTTAGTAGCTTGCTTTGTTTATACGTAGAGAATGCCTAACATGGGAGAGATCAGCTACCTTACCATAAACTATAATCATTGTTTTCTAGTTGTTTCTGCAGTGGTCCATTCAAGCGCAGCAGGGACTCATAACTGTTCTATCAAGTCTCAGTTCATGCTTTTTGATTGCCAGATTTGATTACAAAATTTTCATCCTTTAAGGTTTCAGCCCCTTTGGATTGACTCCAAAACGTATGTTTATGAAAATAAAGTTGATGAAATGTCATCATTATATTCGACAGCTCGAAAAACCAACAGATGGCTGATGGTTGTTTTTTATTGTGTGTTGGACGTTGCTGCAATAAATGCCCGAGTTGCATTATTGTCAACAAAGACCCCTCCCTTACAATATCAAAATAGGAGGAAATTCCTAAAAAATTTGGATATATCTCTTATACAGCCCCACATAGAATGGCGTTTCTCTTTAATAAGCACGTAATACAATTATTTTTTTTTAAAACTTGGTGATTTTTGCTTAAGATAATGACAGACACGACCTTTTCACAATAAGGAACACAGAATTTTTCATTGCCTGTTATGGATTATGCAGCCTGTTTTTTAATAATTCATTTAATTTCTTGTTAAGTTAAAAGCCTCTTGTCTTCTTCATTATGATTGCCTTCACTGTCAGTTGGTGTTATAAGATCATCCAATTTTTCCTTTTTCCTTTTTGGATTATTTCTTCAACTTCTCCTTCTTCCAAACTTGAAAACTACCAGTTCCTTTTACAATTTGACTGCATTTTCAATTCATGGAAATCCTTTAAAATTGTTAAAATCTTCTGGACTGAGCTGTTTGATGTCAGCATGAATTTAGTGTTGATGAATGAATGGTGAACTACATATGAATGGAATTTTAACGCGGGAGAAGTCATGCGGGGCACAGAGTCACCCCATGCGTCGAAAATCAACAATCCTTTCCGGAAATATTTCACGTTAATGAATCATCCTTCTAGTATCCTCCTGTCTGACACTTCCCTTGGAATGTGTATTGTTATTTTTGCTTTTTTTTTTTTTTTTTTTTTTTCTGCGAGAGAAGAAATCATTTCTTGGAATCCATGAGGGAATGGGGTGACTCAGTGACCCCGCGTGACTATTACTGCTTCGAAATTTTTATAGTAGCATTTAGTTCGTGCTCTCGAGTTTTTCGCTGTTGGTCTGTGGATATTGATAATATGGCTTACAATTAAATTACTAATATGAAAAGCGATGGACGTTTGAGCTCTATTATATGAAGTGATCTTCTGATGGAGAAATTGATCAAGATAGTGAAAAGAATCTGATGAGAATATACAGTTCTCCTAGCAAAAGTGATTTGATCAATGAGAAGACGACGGAAAAATCCTGATTTATAAAAAATTTTTTCAGCAAAAATAACACAGTTTGGCAGAAAGGAAACCAAATCAAAAGTGAAACGTTTCTCAAAAATAATAACTCATTTACCAGGATTAAAAGGAACTACACGCAATATAACGGAGCCTCTAGAAAGTTGGGAATTGTTTTTCACCAGAGATCGAGATGCCAAAACGACAAATGATGTGAAAATTAGAACACTTTTTGAGCTTTTATATCTGTGCGGCTTGCATAAATCGTCACATACAAATATGTAAGATTTGTGGGCTACTGATGAATCAGGCATTGAAATTTTATGGAACATAATGTCATATAAAAGATTTAATTTCCTTCTCAGGTGTTTACGGTTAGACAATGTGACGAATCGTGAAGCTCGCAAAAAATTGGACAAACTGGAGGCTGTGAGAGAATTTTTTGCCGATTTCAACGGAAATTGCCAAAAGATATACATTATTGGTGAATATGTTATTATCGACAAAAAATTGGAGAAATTTCGAGGGTGATGTTCCTTTCGTCAATATATACTTAGCAAGCTAGCGAAATATGGAATAAAAATATTTGCCTTAGTAGATTCAAGAACATTTTACAGCTATAACAGAGATATATGCAGGACAACAGCTGGAAGGTCCCTTTAGAGTTGAAAATTCACCATTTGAAATTACAAAATGCTTGTGTACCCCTTTTTTTGGATCAGGCAGAAACGTAACAATGGATAATTGGTATACGAGTTATCTATCCTCTAGCAAAAGAACTTTTGTCAAAGAAGCTATTGTAGGAACCCTGAAGAGAAACAAGGCTGAAATTCCCCCGAATTCGTCCAAACAAAAACTAGGAAAGATTATTCTTCTATATTTGGGTTCCAAAAGAACGTAACACTAGTATGTATGTGCCTAAAAAATCAAAATGTGTAGTTTTGTTATCTACATGCATTGATGAAAGTGATGATACCAAGAAATCAGAAATAATTCATTTTTATAATGCAACAAAAGATACAAAAGGCAGTGTAGACAAAGTTGATGAAATGTCTTCATTATATTCGACAGCTCGACAAACCAACAGATGGCCGATGATTGTTTTTTATTGTGTGTTGAACGTTGCTGCAATAAATGCCCGAGTTGCATTATTGTCAACAACGACCCCTCCCTTACAATATCGAAATAGGAAGTTCCTAAAAAATTTGGCTGTATCTCTTATACAGACTCACATAGAGATAAGGAAAAATATGCCAATGCTTCCTAAAGTGCTTCATGAAGGCATCAATAATGTGACTTCTAGTGGATCAGAACAACGCCCATCAAAGAAACCAAAATTCGACAAAGGCCGATGTGCTATGTGTCCAAAGTTCAAAGACAATAAAATTACAATTTCTTGCAAAATATGTGGTAATTTTTCATGTAAAATTCATTCTTCTATGTTGCAGAAGTGTATGTCAGCTTCTGACCCGATTAGGTACTTAATTATTGAATGGAATTTTCTTAATATGAAATAAGTAATTTTCTCAAAAATATGCATATTGTTTATAATCAAATGGTTTTTTTATAACATTTATAACACATTTTCCTAATGAAACTGATTGGGGTGACTCAGTCACCTCGCGTGATCTCCAAATGATAAGACATATATCATTGTTTTCTAGTTGTTTCTGCAGTGGTCCGTTCAAGCACAGCAGGGACTCGTAACAGTTCTATCAAGTCTCAGTTCATGCTTTTTGATTGCCAGATTTGATTACAAAATTGTCATCCTTTATTCCATGCCTTATGATATATTGCATATGTCATATAATGACTTATCAGGCATAAACCACATTTATCCCAAATTAATTATGGCTTTCTCATGTAATTTTAAAACATGATGAAACATTTATTTAAGACATTCACTTATTTAAAGAATAATATGATACCAGTATCCTTTTTCTTTCACTGTATCCTAATTTTTTCACTTTCGGGTAAGGTTTAGAAGTTATGTCCTGAAGTTTATTGATCTGCATAGATAAATGTTCTATCTTTTTATGCACCAAATCCAAATCAGGATCCCTAAAAAGGAAGAGATATAACCAATTAGTCTATAAACTTTTTTTCAGCATTCTGATAATGCATTCAAAGAAAGAAAAAATTAAATCAACTTTGCTGAGGTAATTATTGATACTTATATCTGAATGACTGCCAAATAAATTACTTAATTATGTTGACATAATTCACAATTTTTCAAAATTTCTTCTAACTCAAATTAATGCTACTCTAATTTGCTAAATTAAAAAAAAAATTGTCTTTCTTTCACATGATGAATCTCACACAAATGATAGGTGTTACATAACTCATTCTTTTACATACCATCTTTTTTATTTTACATGTTCTAAATTCCTGTTTTGTTTCCTGACAGCTTCAATTAAAAAGTTTTGTTATATACTATATAACATAATTCTTTTTCACTTCTCAATTAATTTAAACTTCATATTATGAATACAGGAATTGAAATACACCCTCCACTAAACATACAACCTACAACCCCAATTTGCAAATATATTTTAGTTAGACATACAAATGACAAAATATATATAAGGAAAGAATGTAAAAAGTGGTTTAAATAGTAGCAGACAAAATGCACATCTCCAAAACACACACACAAAAAAAGGTATATTATTAAGCCAGTGCCAATTTGGATGGCTTAAGCAAATGAGAATGTCCCAAAAAACCAACTGAGGAACTGATTTTCAACATTCAAAGATGGAGGGATCAGTGTTGAACAGGTAAGTGAGGAAAGTAGTTAAGTTGCACAGAAGTTGTCTGGCATGAACCTTAAAGTAATGACACAACAGACAATGCTAGTATCAGTGGATCAGAATAGCGTCTAAACTTTTGTATGAATTATCATGCAACAGTGAGTAGTACATTAATACACTGGCATCTTTGCTATCTGCCACTTAAAACTACTTATCTACATCTCGCAGACTTATATTGAAACTTGTATATTGAAACAAAGCAGACTTGTATTGTATATTGAAACAATGAAGACTTGTATTGTATATTGAAACAAAGGAGAACCAAAAGCTAGCAGATGCAGTACTTTTGATTTTGGCATCTACTATGATATCTGTTACTATTTTTAAGCATTGACAGCAGTGATAATTCTGATGCCATGATCATGAAGCCTGGGAGCAATAAATTGCAGTTTCTGTTGTCAGTAAAAAGAAGGCCCGGCCAACATTGCCCAGTTTAGGTTAGGCTATTTGAATACAGTCAAAAGTCGTTAATTCGGACACGCTTAATCCGGACCTCAAAGCTACAAACTTTCTGTGCATACGCATGCGCAGAAAGTTTGTAAGTGCGTAAGACCTTTACTGCTGCGAATTTGCATGTATGCGTGCGCAAAATATGTTTACGAATGCGCGTTTAATGTATAACGGGATAAGCTAAGCTAAAATTATCTATTTCAGTTAATGTTGCAGATTGCGTTGTTCCTTAATCTTTGAATTGGATCCGGCTTATTATTTTCTTTTAGAGCAATTTTAATAAAAGTAAGTTGGAACTTTCGATTATGTCAATGATTTTCGATTATTTACAACATGTAAGGATATACACGCGAAGTATCTTCGGAGTCCATTAAAATGGATTGCTGCAAAAAAGGATAAAGGCATATCCTTGTTTATCTAAACTTACTTTGTTTATCTAAACTTTGTTTATCTTTACGCTGCGCGCAATTAATTGGAAGTTGATTGTCAGCACTATCCTTCTTAAGGCAGATGTTTTTTATTTTATTTGGCTTATAATTGCTTACTAAATGTAGTTTTCATTATGACTCCGTCTTTCATATGATTTAAATCAATGCCTCGTCTTATAATTTGCTTCCGATAGCGAAGGAAGAAAAAGTGACAGAGGTATTGAAAAGAAAAATTTCGATTGACAAATTAGTCGGTATTCTCGACACAGTAATTATAGGATTGGACAGCGGAACTTTGTAACTGAACAAGAATTATGTCTGTTTAAGAATTAAAGAGAATGTATTATCACTAAAAAACGAAGCCACTCTTAAACACTTACATTGAAAGAAATGTTAATAAAGTAAACAAATAAATATTAAGCTTTTTTTTTTGTAATTTGATACCCTTTGATCATAATTGTTCTTTATTTCGTAATTAAGGTTTCATATTTTTAATTTTATATTCTGCATGCCATTTTACCAGATTTAAACTGATGATCTATAATCCGGAACTGCCGAAGTCCCGACGAGTCCGGATTAATGACTTTTGATTGTATTTGAAAACAAATGAAATGCTTCAGAGAATAGATGACTTCTTGGAGGTCTTTCTAAAGAGAACTAATCTGTATTTATGCTACACATGGGAAGAACTAAGAAAATTAACCATGCAGTCCAGCTTGTTCGCTTAAGCTTGGTTGAAATATTCAGTGGTGTTAGCTGGTCAGTCACCAACATCACTTAGCCACATTATTGTGAAGCAGCATACATTACACACACTTATTATTAAACACTCGGGAAGTGACTGCCTATAATATGAGATCATCTACAGTGTTCTTCTGTAGCAGTTAAACAGCCTCATGATATGCTGCTGAGATTTTGCAAACAGTTATAATTGTATGTTCTGCAAATGCTCCAAGCCCATTCACATCTGAATTATCTTCAGGAAACGCCTTTCCTGATTTCCATACTTTTTCCAAATTCAAATACATCTGAGAATGCTGATTAGCTGATATCTGCTAACTAATTCTTTAGCATAACCTTTGACATCTGCTCATGCCATAATGCCAGCTATCATATTCATAAGGAACAGTTCAAAGCTGCATTTGCTAATAAATGGGTTGATATATAATTTTATCTTCATTACTATATAATTTTAATTATTTACCTTTGCCTTATCATTGCTCATGATTATAAGTAAGTCTTATCATTGCTCATAATGAAACAGTTTTTCTAGTTGTGCAAATGCTTTCGATTCAGATTGTATTTCACACACGGTGGGCAAGAAACTCCTAGACTAGGGACATAAAATAGTGAATACTAAACATCATTTTGAAGAAATGTTTAACTGACCAAAAAATAATAGCAACAACAAAACAAGAAATACACACGAACTTGAACCTGAAAAAAATTGAGCAATTGCTAAATTTTATCATAAATTTTAAAAGAATAAGAAATTTGAATAGTCTCAGATGTATACAGTCAAAAGTCTTTAATCCGGACTCGTCGGGACTTCGTCGATTCTGGATTATAGATCATCAATTTAAATCTGGTAAGATGGCATGCAGAAATTATAAAATTATAAATATGAAACAGTAATTTATGAAATAAAGAGCAATTACGATCTAAAGGGTATCAAAATTTACAAAAATCAAAAAGCTTAATATTTATTTGTTTACTTAATTAAACATTTCTTTCAACGCGCGCACGCGTAAAGCATACATTACGCATAGTCGAAATTAGAAAATTGCAACCAGAAAACTATTTGATGTGTATTCGTGATATTTATAATGACGAGGAATTTGATTTAAATCATATCAAAGACGGAGTACATCGAGATGAAATACTACATTTAGTAAGGAATTATAAGCCGAATAAAATAAAAACATCTGCCCTGAAGATAAGGATAGCGCTGATAGATCAACTTCCAGTTCATTATGTGCCGTGCCGCCCCCCCCCCACAGAGCAGTGTGAAATTTATAAATAGATTTCGGAATGGTTAGAGAAACAAAGGATACGCCTTTATCCATTTTTTGCAGCAATTCCACTATTTGTTTGATGGACATCAAAACATGCTTTCGCTTTGTAGATATATCCTTTGGCAGCTCCAGAATCGGAAATTCTATTTGATATAATCGAAAGTTCAAGCTTACTTTTATAAAATTGCTCTAACAGTCTGCAAAAAATAATAAGCCGGATCCAATTCGAAGGTTATGGAACAACGCAATCTGCAACATTAACTGAAATAGATAATTTTAGCTTAGCTTATACCGTCCGTTATACATTAAACGCGCATGCGTACACGTATTCTGCGCATGTGTACACATATTATGCCCATGCATAAAGGTATTACGTGCATGCGTTGACGCATGTGCAGAAAGTTTGTAGCTTTGAGGTCCGGATAATAGATCATTCCGGATTATGGGTGTCCGGATTAACGACTTTTGACTGTATTACTTTTTAATTGCACATAACAAATATTAATAAGAATCTCATACCAAAGCCATCTGTGACTACAGAAGTACCGTAAAAGCAAATGTAAAGAGAAAAAACAAAACAAGCTTCTATTAACATGGCAATGAATTTCATTTAGATGAAATATAGAAAAATCTGTTAAAAAATTACCTTGAAATACTAGAATTCTCAGCATCTGCCAATAATTTAAAATTGAGAATAACTGAAAAAAAAATTAGTAATTATTTTAAGAAAAAACTGACACATTTTAATAAACTGGTTATTTAATACTTTAAAGCATATTACTGGAATGGTTAATAATATACATAATAAAAATATTTCCCAAATTATTAGAATGTTTATGATAACTAAAGTCACTTACAAAAGAAAAATTTCTCACTGCCAAAAGAACACTTCACTTGAAGGGTTTTTTGAATTTTTCCTGTAACTCAAAAATGGTTAGCAGAAGAAATTTGAAATTTTACGTATGGGGCTGCTATAATATGTAGTTAAACACTTCCACTTTTGGTTCCAATTGGTCTTTTCAAAAAGCACTTTACCCTTGACATTTTTTGAATTTTTCAGGATTTATGATCAAATTTTGTATTTAACTATCATATGAGTAGCAACACTACTACAATCAAAGACACCCATATGCTGTAGCTAGAGTGAATATTGTACAATTACATACATAGTAAATATATTAACTATTAGAATATATAACATAGCATTAATAATTGGTTTGAAAACTTTTCTTAAAATGGTCCATACACCTTCAGCTTTCATTTTACATCACTATTTCTTTCAATGTAAGTATACTTTTAGTATCTAAAAGAGTGAAATGTTTTGTGTTTGAGTCATGTTTAAAATGTATATAATTTAACAGGCATACAAGGAAGTCATGGTCCATATCAGATTTTTTGTTAATCAATTTTATCATATCACACAACATTGTTTAAAATAACCAGTAACTTAATAAAGGTATTTTCTCCCTTCTCCCAACATGCTTTTGTGGTGTAATGGTAGAACACTTGGCGTGTAGTTGAGAGGTCCAGGTTCGAGTCCCAGGAAGAGCATTGCACATTTTTCACATCTCCTGCTTCAAAATAATCTAATGACTACAGTGGTTCGAACTAAAATATGGTGGACAATAATTCGTCATCCCCAGGATATGGCGACTAATCCTCAGCCGCTCCTTAAAAGAGGGAGTACACAAGGTGTTTTCTGTTCCTTCCAGCACGCCTTTGTGGTGTAACAGTAGCACACTTGGTGTGCATTGAAGAGGCCCAGGTTTGAGTCCTGGCGAGGGCATTGCACATTTTTCATGTTTCCTGCTTCAAAATAACTTAATCGCTCAACAACTTTTTGTTTAACTTAACTTCACCGGCACACCTTTATACTAAGATTCCTCAAACATTTAAAAGTTAAACTTTTACTCGAGCAAACATACGCTCTGTAATGAAACATCTATAGTTTATGCTTGTTATAATGACAGAAGTGTTACAACAAGCAGTGTAAAAAGTTCTTATTGGATGAGACTTTATTAAATCCACTTTCACTGCAGCAATCGCTCATTCATTAGAACATCCAGTTAAGAGTAGAGAGGTACCTCTTGTATTATCACGAAGTTGTTGTTTCATTTATGGTAGTTGAATGTTATGGAAACCCTATTATGACGTAATCGGTTGCATGATTGAGTTAAATTCATAAGGATTTCTGGTGTGCGTTGGTTAGGAAGTATATTGCTTGATTTGTGGTTTAGAGGGTAAAATGCCTGGAAATTGGAAAGAATGTAAATGAAGTGTGTAAATGAAGGTTTACTTAGTAGCCATTATTAGGTGTCCTGTTTGTAGGAAGGAAATGCGTAGGGTCGAACTTCGCTACAGAGGTTATTTTTACTTTTATTTTGTGAATTTATGTAGCAATGCCAGTATACAGATTCTAGTTGATAATTTTAGGATATTTTTAGATGCTGTTAAGGAATTTTGTTTGACTGAAGACGTGTTAATTCGTAAATAAGGTAAGTGGATAGTTCCTATGTATAGTGCAAAGATGAATTTCTCTTTTTACGTTATTTCATTGTTTGATAAAAAAATGTAATTCACTGAGATTATATATTTTTTGTTGGCTGCTGTTCTTTCAACTTTTTAAGTGAATACAGTTTGATGTGTACATGGACAAAGTCAAGGGAGTGCACAAAGCCTAGTTTGTGCAATTCTCTGATGTTTTTTTTATGTGAAAATATGTCGATGTGTACGTGGATAAAGTCAAGGATATGCGCAATGTTATTTTTGTGCAATTCTGGGATTTTTTTCAAGTGAAAATAGGTCGATGTGTACATGGATACCGAGTTTGTGCAATTCTTTGTCTTGTTATTTTGGCTTTGTGTAGTGGCAATCTATGGTTTACACTAATTAAAATTAAAAGACACTGCAGTTATTCATTATCAGATCTGTTACAATCAATTAAAGGACAAAAATAATTGACAAACTTTTATAAAATTATTGATATCTAACTGGGAATCAGAGAATTTTATCTGAGAGAACTATAGTTAAGACATAACTAAAAGAAAGCAAATATATATTTCCAGAGTTTTATGATAAATTAAGTGAAGCACGCTAAAGTGATGCTGCTTTATATAGTTCTAAGTAAACTAACAACTATACTACACATCATTATTTGCATTACAAATGATAATATATTTAATATTGAATGGCTAATACATTTACTAATGAGTATTGGCTCTAGGGTTTTCGGCACCTGGTTTATTCCAAAATTTTTTAAAGTTTTGCCACTCCGAAATTCTGCTTCTAATTAGCATAACTTCAGGTCAAATGTTCAGTAACTTTCACTGAAACTCATTAGAATGTCTTTAAGACTTAATTCTGACTAGATTGGAAACCTCTGCTTATTAACCATTTTTAATCAAATCTAGCCTCATATCCTAACATATTAAAATTTTTGGACATTTTTAACAAATCCAAAAATTTAACATACTTAGCTGTAAAATGATGAAATACGCTCAATTTGGAAAGCTACACAAACAAAATTCTATGTTATTTTAGACATCAACATCTGATGTTATTTGTTTAATAGTAAATCTAACTTAACAGCTCACTAATATCCTAGTTTTTGTGCTAGTCCATTACTTCATTCTCAACGGAGAGTTAATTTAGGTTAATTTAATAATTTCATGAGTATGTATTTTTAAAATATCTCTTTATTTTTATTTTATCGGAAGTAACATAGTATTAATAGAGTAATATACACGTTTGAAACTAAGTTCTGAATACAGTGTCTCAAAAAAGTGATGGGACACTTGTGCTTTACAAAAGGAAACTGCAATAAAATAAATTTAAAAAACATGTAAACTTTTTTGTGGGTGTGTTTCATACTTAAATTTAGTAACAATTATTACATAACATACATTTTCTCAAAATATTAAAATATTAATTTAATAAAACAAATTGTTTAGAACGCAGCAAAAAATGGCTCACATAAGTGATGGGACACCATTAGATACTACTATGTACTATGCAACAAAAATCGTCTGAAGTAAGCAATAAAAGTATTTTTTGGGGTTTTTTATTTTTACTCAAAAGCAATTGGCAATAATTTATAAAATCGTCTGCAGTATTTCTCTCCAGTTTGTTTTGGAATTTTTGTGTTTTTTTAGCTCTGTGCAGCCATGAATGCTAAACGAAAAGAAACTTTGCCTGAAATTCGAAAATTAGTTATTAATTTGCATATTGAACGGGAAAATCTATTAGAGAAACTTCTGAAACAGTTAACTTGAGTCATTCAACAGTTTTCAATATCATTAAACGATATAAAAATAATCATATGATTCAGGGTAAAAGAAGACCTGGCCGACCATCAAAGCTATCCAATGGAATAAAGCGAATTATCGTTCTAAATATTAAACAAAAATCCAATAATGAGTGCTCCTAAAGTTGCTGCCTGATTTACAAGCATTATATGGAGTAATTGTTAATCCTGAGACTATTATAAGAGTAATTCGATATGCTGGATATCACGGTAGAGCAGCCAGGAAAAAATTCTTCGTTGAGTGAAAAGAATAGAAAACTCAGACTGGCTTTCGCAAAATCCAACATAAATAGGAATTCTGATTATTGGAATGAGAGTATTTATTTGGTTCTGACGGTAGAATCTTGGTGTGGAGACCCAGGAAAACCCAGGGAAGAAGAGTTTCGCAAACAGAACTTGGTGCCAACAGTAAAACAGATGGTGGTGGAGGAGTTATGGTATGGGGGTGTATGTCGTCTGCTGGAGTTGGTAATCTTTATTGACAGTTTTTATTGACATTTATTTATGATTTAATGATTTATTTGATTTTATTGACAGTCTAATGAATCAGGACAAGTATATTGACATTTTAAATCAAAATTTTGAAATCTTCAGCACGAAAATTGAACCCTTCATAACGATTTTAAATTCTACCAGGACAATGACCCCAAGCACAGTGCTTTGAACGTTAGACTCTGGCTGCTGTATAACTGTCCTGGAAATAATAAAAACACCCCCACAATCTCTACAGACTTAAATCCCATAGAGAATATTTGGCAAGAATTGGAATCAAGAATTCAACAAACACACCATTTCTTCAAAACAACAATTAAAATCGGTGCTTCAAGAATGGGGTAAAATCACTCCAGAAATCACACAAAAAATTAGTCGAATCCATCCCAAGTAAGATTAAATCATGTTTTAAAAGTAAAAGGAAATCCAACAAAATATTAAACCTTTTAAAAAGTAAAATTTTTGGATAAATATTTGATGGAAAAGTAAGTGTCCCATCACTTAAGTGAGCCATTTTCTGCTCTGTTCTAAACAAATTTTTATTAAATTAATATTTTGAGAAATTGTATATTATGTAACAATTGTTACTAAATTTAAGTATGAAACACACACCCACAAAAAATTTTACATGTTTTTTTAAATTTATTTTATTGCAGTTTCCTTTTGTAAAGCACAAGTGTCCCATCACTTTTTTGAGACACTGTATATATCACTAAAAATTTGATTGTGAAATGAAAGTGTATAAAGAGAGGATATAGTTTATAGCTTTGAATGATGTCTTGTTTCTGGAGGAAAAAAATCATTTCACTATATAGAAAGAAAAATACAGATTCAGCAAGTATAATTTAAATATCTGCTTAAGCAAGCGTTATGTTTAAGCTATATATTAATATTTACTTACTGCAACTTACAAACGTGTCAATCAAAAACAATACTTACCGGCTAAAAGCAATATAATAAATAGAAGACCAAATAGCAACTTCATGTTAAATCTTAAATGCGAGAACATATTATTGATAAAAGCAACGATCTCGAAATTTTTTCATTGTATCAATAATGCTCTTTATAGAACTTCCAGATGCAAAAGTAAAACGTAAACAAAGGCGAAATACAGCAAACGCACTTCAACACCGCCGGACAACTATTCGTTTACAAACACCACCACACATTAACGAACGAATCATTCAAATGATACACCAGAAGTGTAAAAAGTCCCAGTTTCCTGCGGAAAGGCACTGTCTTGACATCACTAACAATTTTAAGTAAATATTGAGGCCAAGGAGGTTAGAACTGATTGAGACGACTAGATATCAAAGTCATTTTAGACAACTGATTATCGAAAATTTTTTAAATTGTAAACCTATTAATTTGAGAAATAAGAAAAAGAAAAAAATTAGTATAGGAAATATCCGAATCATAAACTGTGTGACATTAGGGTCCATATGTTACCAATCTTCCAAAGAAAGTGTTTCATGAAAAAGAGAGATTCTTTTTTAACTCTTCCTAATTTACGTATTTTATAGCTCGCAGATGCATTAGGTAGTATCTAGATTCAGTTCGGTTTCAGCCTTGTTATTTGCGATAAAGAGAGCGGCTTATGACACCCATTTATGGAAGGCCTTAGCCAAATTCTTCTCCACCGACAATATCTTAATATAATAGCAATAACAAACTACAAACATATTTTGCTATCGTTAAGTCTTTACTGATGGTATCAATGTCTGGATGTATGGTATGAAGCGTAGAGTGCGGTAAATGAAAGGTGGGATTTTCACTTGCATTTTATCTTTTTATATAATTTTACTAATTCAAGATTAGCTTTTGAGTATACCTAAACTATGAATTCTACTTCTATTCATGCCCTGCTATAATAGTTTTGTTTTGATATCTAACTTGGGATCAAAATTAATAGAACGAATATTCAGTTAACTTGTTATTCCGTTATAATCTTGAAAAACTAGATAGGGGTCATTAGCGAAAAACTGCAAATATCTGCAGCATGCTCAAATAAAAATGACAACTGAGGATACAGTAATTATCACTTTGATGCATACTGAAAAAAAGATCAAAGAACTGAGAGACTTCGAGGATCTTATTCCCAGAGTGGAAGGGGGGAAAGCAAAAGAAGTTGCTTCCTTTTGCAAGACACTTATCTTAACATTCTGTTTCCCTGCTGATGTTTTTAACAGATTCCATATTAGTATCACAGGGAGAGGAGTTTTTTAAGATGATATTTTTCAAAGCTTATTTAAAGTTACGTCTATGTTAGAAAGAGTTGAATTCCCTAGCACTGCTTTTAATAGAAAATTATATAGCTCCAGAACTGCGATTTGAAGATATCATCAATTTTGTCTTAGCAGTCAAAATAGCATTATTATAATTTTATTTAATTAAATAAAGATATATGCAGGGTCAACGACAAGCATACACGTTATATGCCGCTGATTTTCGGAGGAATGTCAACAATACTGACGACACAGAGGGCCGAAAATGCTAGAGGCAGGATTATTTATATAACATAATACAAGTTTAACTTAGACAGGACACCTACAACACTCATTACTTCGGGCACTGAAAATGCTAGAGCTCAGTCTGTTTAAGACCCAGGTTCTCAAATAACAACCATTGCTGGGAATCTTGTTAAGGATATCTCTCAGAGCAATCATCACGGTTCTTAATATAAGCATACACTTCTATTCATGGAACACTTAAATATGAGACCTTATTTTAACTTATATATGAGACCTTTATTTTAAGTTTAATTTTCAATTTTATTTCTTTTTCATATTTTCCCTCAAATATATAATTTATAAATAAAAAAAAAAAAAACATTCAAAGCAAATCTGTTTATTTGAAAACAGTAGCTGAGATAAAGCTAGTGTGTTACCCTGAATTAAAACCATTTCTTTAAATCAATGAATCGTTCAATAGCCTTTCGTTAAAATGATGCTTGAGGAAGCAACATTTAATTTTTCCCTTTTACTTCATTTCTTTGTCTCATTTTCCCTAAATGATAAAAAATTAAATTGTTTTTATAAGAAATTAAGGAATGGGAATTAGTTGATTCTACACGAAAGCGAATAATGCCTGCTCAACTTTTTCGTATCCTTAGAATCTAGTGAATGTTCCGAATAACGGATATTTTTCTTTTCTTTGAAAAATCATTCACAAAAATAGGGAAAGCCAAGAAAATGAATACATTTGAATTCAAGTTTAAGACAACAACTGTTTATTGTTTTGGTTCTTCATACAAAATTTTTTTCATTCAAAAGAAAATGGATCTTGCCATTTTGAAAGAATGAGGAAAGGGAAACTGCATTGTCATTAATCATGATGGACTTAAAATTTAGTTCCAGTTCATATGGAAAGAACTTTATTCTAATGGTTCTATGTTCATTTTCAGAACGACTTTTACTGAAAGATAAAGATTAAAGGTTAGAATTAAAGGAGATAAGATTTTGAAATCTAGGTCTATGTCTAGGGTTTCTTTTTGTTATAATTAAAGTGTGGACTTTATTTCGCGTAACGAATCGTAATCTACTGTGTGCCTGCTATTGAATGAAAAAGAAAAACGTTGCATTTTTCAGAAATATGGCGTTTATCTACCAGTATAAGAGTGCGGATAACGGGAGAGTACCTATTTTTATAAACTTATGCTGCATAAGTATGTATATAAACTAAATGCTTGTTTTAATGTTTATTACCTCAAAGAAGCCTTAGCCCAGAAGAGCCATTAGTCTCAAAACAGCATTTAGCGTCATTTTAAACGGTTGTATCACTTTTCAAATTGTTGCCACCAATTATTATAGCCTTGTATTATATTTAAAGAAATAAAACCATGCAGAATCTGCATGAATTTATGTATGTTTATCGCTTTATGAAAAAACGACACATAGAGCCATCAAATTTTGAATAATATAGGCCTCCACCTGAATTTGGGCATCTGGAAGCCCGAATCATGAATTTCGAATTTCTTCTGTTATCGATGTCATATTTTTAAACTTTAAAGAATTTTTGATTAAGAAACTCAATGATTTCAAAGCGAGCAGTTGCAACACACTGTACAGAATAAGATATTTTTATCTCCAGCGCGCGAGACGCTGTATTGGAAAATCTAAACATAGGCTACTTTACTTTTATATATTGTTACGAAGTGTCCTGGCGCGGTAAGATGGCTTCCCCGTAAAGCAGTTTTAGGGTTGCCATAAAACGGCAAGGTAAGGCTGGGTTGCCACATTTGGCGAAAAATAAACCATTTGGCGATATTAGGCGACAAAATTAGCGATATGCCATGGATGGATGGATGTAGAACCTTCTGGAATGAATTCTTACCGGTTTAGAGGAGAATGTTCTCGAACACAAGCCAAGCCAAAAGCTATATAGACCCTGCTGGTACGCGGAGTGTCAGTGCGAGATAGTTGGTGTCTCGTCTAGCGAGTCAGTCCGTATGGAATCGATCGAATTGACAGCCGGGCAGCGAGTGCCGAGTGGTTCGTCGAGTGCATCGAAAGAGTTTCTTCGTAACCGCGGTTAGTGCATCGTCAAGAGAGCGTTTTGAGCTTCGGGAACGACTGAACCGAAGAGTCGGAAGCTGTGCTCTGTGAGTCGTCGAGTGCATCGCGAGTTATAGCGTGGAGAGTCTCGAGAGTACGCGGAGTTCTGAGAACGACCAAGCAGAGTCGGGAGCAACGAGATATATACTGGTAAAGAGCGTATCTGCAACCTCCAACCGGTTCCAGCATTAGTGTCACGTGACTGCTAGTCGAATTCCGAAAGCCCGCAAATACTTTACATTGGTTTCTATGGGACGAAAGACTGCTGCTATGCTTGGTCACATAAAATTTAAGAAAAAAAAATGGTTATCCGCTGCAGCGCCTATGAATGTAAAGAAAGTTTTGTAAAAGGAGGACTTGTAACCTTTCATAGGTAAGTTAAAACTGCATGATTTATTATTTTATTTCCCAGTACTTTTGTCATTTTACTAGCTCTGTTGAATTGGTTGGAAAGTTTCAGTCATATTGTATAAGAAAATTGCCGCTGTAATGACATTTTCAGCATGTATTATTAGCATCAAAATGTATTAAATACTGTGACACTATTTACTGGAATCACCCCTTTCCAAATAATTGAATTTTATAATCTTTTTCCGTGTACTCCGTTGAAACAGAAAGCTGCGCGAATTGGAGCTAACCGTTTTTCGCCAAGTCGTACGCGTTTTGATTTCGTAAACAAGTACTGCCAGCGATATAAAAAGAAAAATGCTATTATTAAATTATTGAGAAAAGATTGTGCGTTCTGTTTACTTTGTTAAAAAAAGCTGAAAATCTTGATTCATGCAATATCGAACATAAACATTTAAACAGCATTATTTTAAAAAATCAGATTACTTTTATAAAGCTCAGTGCTTTATCATTATTTTCTATAAAATCAATTAAAATAAAAACAATCTGCATTATAATTCTGTCTCATCTACGATGCTGTTAGAAAAGTATCGTAATGGAAAAAATATGATGTGAAAATTTTATCATATTTTAAATAGTATTATTTAAAAGGACAGAGAGAGAGAGTTTTTAACTATAATATCGTTTTGTTTCGTAATATCTATAAAGATTTCCATGGTTTTACAAGCTAATTTTTTTTAAAATTTATACCATCTCTGCCCCCCAAAATGTTTGATAAGTCAAATTTCCTATATCAGAGCCATATATAGGGTACTGTATTTCATAAAGTTATTCATATATTATATAATAATACCTAGTTTCTATATTTCGGCCAAATTGTATGTTTTTGTTTTAAAAAAAAAAAGCTCATTACTTATTCACAAATCAAAAATAGAAAAATTTGGAATATACTTGACTATACCATTTTGAGAGAAGTTGATTTTTGGTACTTGTTCCTCATATACTTTAGAAAAAATAATTTAAATAAATAAAAAAAAGTATTAATCCACTTAAAATAAAAATATACGATTTCGTATGAACACCAAACTTTTAAATATGAGCAGGACATGCTTTTCAAACGAAAAGCTTTATTTCTTCATCAGATGAAAGTTGGAACCTTTGCAGTTGGTGAAGAACGGAAGCTTTTTGTTCAAAATGTGCGTCCTGCTCGCGTTTAAAAGATTGGTGTTCATGCATAGTATATTTTTGTTTTACTTAATTTTTGAGTATTTATT